ATAAACGGCCCCGTATCAAGCTATAGCCGACTGGATAATGAGCGTAATGTCGTGCTTGCAGCGGCGGCCGCGTGAGTGACCGTTTCCCGGGCGGATGTCGGCTGGCGGCCGGCGAAAAATGGCCGCCCGGCGGCGACCATCGCCGTCGGCCCGGCCCGGCCCGGCGGTCGATGCCGCTCCTGGGGTCGATAGAGCGCCGCCGCGCCGTCGGCGCCGACGGCAGGAGCCGACGCGCAGAAAATCAATGTCTGACCGACGCGAGGACGGCAGCAGACCCGGGACCGGCGGCTGCCGGTGCATACAGTACGCGGGACTGGCGGTACACACGGGGTACACGGGACTGGCGGTAAATACAGTACGCGGGACCGGTGGTACACTCGGGGGCAGATTGATGTTCCACCACTCCCTACCCATCGGGCTCCCATGGCTCAGCACTGGCTGCTGCCAGTGGCAGCACTGACAGCACTGGCACTGGCAGGCAGTGCTGAGGGCAGGCAACACTGGCAGCAGCCAGTGCTGAGCCATGGGATCGTCCGATTGGTAGGGAGTGGTGGAACATCAATCTGCCCCCGAGTGTACATACAGTATGTACACGGGACCGGTGGTACATATTGATGGGCACCCGGGACCAGCAGTATGTACAGTCCACAGCAGAAGTAATATGTGGTTTCAGTCATGGGTATGTTCTGCTTCTGAAGCTTAGGAACGATTAGCCAGACTGCAATGAAACTTTGAATGTAGCTTATATGTATCGTCACTCTTGCAGCTGCAACTTTAGCTATTGACATCTTCTTTTCAATCAGTCCGCATTTAAAAATCGTCGGTCAAAGCCATCCGTTAAGATTGGTAAAACCACACACTACTTTAGCGGTGGGCTGTACCTACAGGGAGGTACCCGGAGGCAGAGCCGAGTTAGACGGTAGACGTGACGGTGGGAACAGAGATACAAGAGACGGCGACGGACCGGACACGGGGTGGGTCACGGGCCGGGGCAGACCGGCGACGGACCGGACACGGGGTGGATCACGGACCGGGACCGGCGACGGACCAGACACGGGGTGAGCCACACGGGCCGGGGCAGACCGGCGACAGACCAGACACGGGGTGAGCCACTGCCACGGGCTGGTATGACTGGCAGCCCGGCTCGCCTGATGCAGCGGCGGCCCGCCGTGTAAAACAGTCTGACCAGAGTACAAACTGTTCCGGCCGTAATTACACGTAATTAACAGCGCATAACTCACAGTGTCGGAGCACGCCGCAGCCACAGGCCGAGACCGGCAGCTACCTATTAGAAGGAGGCACTCCGCCGCCACCGTACGTCTTGGGCCGTGGTTCGCCGGCGACACGTGTGCTACTGCCGCTCCGGTCGGCTGATCGCGGCTCGGCTCCTCAGTTCTGAATGCATGGCCTATCCGTTTACTCGGAGATGTAATTTTGTCAAGTTTTTTTTTTATCATGAACATGTCTCGGTGAACATAGGCACAGTTCTATTAACCATTTTTATTCATTAGATATCCGGCTGCTGGGCAATAACGTGCGATCCTTTCCTCAAACACTGTCCCGTGGCGGCCCGCCCGTCGGAATCGCACCAATATTCGGCGCGGCCGGCCGTCCGTCCGTACACACGGCCGGCGGACGGCGCGGCACCCGCCTCCCGCCTGCCGCTGTTGACACGTGGACACGTGTTGACACGGCGACACGCGAGTCTGTTAGCAGCCGCCCTTTTTTAGCGGCGCCGCTAATCCTTTAGCGCCGGCGCCACCGGCTAATCCATCAGCTCGCGCCAAACAAATTCAATCACAGTGCGGCGCGCATTGTATGACGCGCGCCAGATTTCGCTCAATCATTCTTATGTTAAAAAACGAGCAACCGGCTCAAACAGTGGCGACATGACCCAAAAGAGTTGGCGCGCTCAAATTCAAAAGGCCGTCGCGAATTCATCCAGCGTATCGGCGCCGGCGTGATAAAGGCGCCCTGTCGCGGCGATGACGGGCACCTCTGGCGCCGGTGACCGATCGTCGCTGTCGATGACGCAGCCGTCACATGTCGTCCCCGTCCCCCCCCCGTCCCCCCGGACCCTCGGCCGGGGCGCGTCCGCCTCTCGCCCAGCGCTGTTTGTGTTTTGCCAGTCGCCCGACAACCCGTGTTTGTCTAACGAGCTGACTGATTGCTCAGGTTAGCGCCGGCGCTCATTGAAGCCCCGCAGGCCGGCAGCCGGCAAACGCGGGAGACAGGCGCGCCCGGGACACCTCAGACGGAAACGGATCGGTACAGGCCGACAGGGGAGCCGGCAGAGGGTAACAGACGTCACCGGGCGGGCAGAACACCGAGAGGGACGGCTCTCACAGAGCCGGCTGCTCGAGCGACGCCGGAGCCGGAGCCGGGGCCGGGGCCGAGGACGGTACTGGCCGGGACAGGTACTGGCCGGGACGATACGGTGTGTGTTGTGTAAGTGTATAGTGTATTCATGTTCACTCATTCAGCTAAGCCTTGACCTCCCACAGCATGGTAACTGCAGTGTGCTGTTCGACTGAAGTTTCCCAGTCTTTTCTTATGCGATTGCTTCTTACCAAATAGTAAATACGATACGAAACTACGTGTTATGTGAAAGCGTAGGTACTTGGTAAGAACACGAACTACTCTATATTATACGGTGATAATAATAATATACATAGTTACGGTATCTTTCATGTTTCCTTCATATCTCCTGATCGAAGGCTAGGGGAGCCACCAAACTTTAACTGTGCATACACCTTACGGCATCAATTTTACACATTCTGACAAAAGTGGTATTGCTACCAATCTGCTATCTCAGATTTTCAAAAATTTGGAAATTTTAATAATGTATAATGTATTGTCAAACCTAAAAATACATATATTTGCAATTTTGACCTATAGTTATATTTTTCGTTAAAAAAGAGCATATATGATGAAACACATAGGTACAGATGTCAATCGTTCACCAATATCTAATTTTAAAGGCAATTTTCACTACGTCTTGAGCTAGCACAACAAAACAATTAGCACCATCCTGTTTCTGAGCTCAAATTTAATTCGATATACACTTTTTTGTCCAAAAATTCCACCTTGAAACTTTGACCTTTTTTGACCTGACCATGACCTGAACTTCACTTTAACCAGCTGGAACTGGCTTTGGACGGCACTGTTGTTGAATTAGGTACATGGCTAAATTACATGTGTTAGTTATATGGCCAATTGTATATGGCCAAGTTACATGAAACATATGTCGCATGACAAAATGCCTTAGAGTTTCCATGACCTTTTGTGACCTAGCGTGACCCAGCTTTATCCTGAAACATGCCAAGTGCAAGCTCGGCACGTTAAGAGTATCTTTAACTTCCATTTTTGAGCGTGTAAACCAAAAATGAGATCATTGTGACTTGCTTAGCGGCGGGCAAACCCTGAAGAGTGAACATACCAAAATGCTGATTTTTTTTTACTTTGACCTGAACTGTAACGTCATTAGTGACCTGATGAGAAATTGTGGACGCTATTCTGATAGTTCATGTGCGGGGCTTCAAAATACCGTTTGAGTTTTGAAAATCGGTCGGTAACGTTCCGAATCTTGAGGAGGGCCGAACCCCCCCCCCCCTTCCCCACCGGGTGGTAGGGTCCGGGAATAGCCTAATGGGACGCGGATTAATTGCAGTATCCGAAACTAGCGCCACTAACTATTTAGTATGTTTCATGACTGGCTTTCGGGCAGTTTCTGGTAAAAAAACACACACACTTTGTGGAAGAGTTCGGACGAAAAGAAGCCAGGATTTTGGACATTGGGCGTACATTGGACAAGACTTTTGTGAAACTGGCACCACTAGGTATAAGTGGTTATATGCTATATGTGGTTATATGTGGTTGATAAAGGCACAAAGCCGAAAGCTCGGAGTCTCGCCCGCCGACTCTGTCACTGCATTCCGCTTTGTTTTTTGCATCTTGTCTGCTAGTATAAGGGTGGTTATAGTCATAAACTTTTATTGTTTGCGTGACGTTTCTGAAAGCGATGCCTAAAGCTCAACTGCTTAACTCATAAGTCATTTCTGCACTGCTGGCCATAGTTATTAAGGCGCTATTTTAATTCCGTCATTTTGTTTGTTTGTTAATAAGGGTGGCGTGAAGTAGGGATCGGATCGGCTTTTCCCGGTGTCGCTATCGCTGGTATGTGAATGTCGTGGCCGATGCCAGCCCCATGAACCCGAGGACTGTCGGTATTTTCTGGGAGCCTCGCCCGCCGACTGTGCTGCGGCTCGGACCAGGGACGGCGAGCGGCACGTTCTATCCGAGCCTGGTCGTCTCTATCCGAGCCTGGTCGTCTCTACCCGAGCCTGGCACGTCTCTATCCGAGCCTGGTCGTCGGCCAAACGGAGGGGCGGCCGACGTCGCACGCTCATTTCGCGCGTACACTGGCGACGCCGGCTTTTTACAGCGCTCGTGTGTTTACGGAACAGGGCGGTAATATTGCCGGGGCGCCGGCCCTCTGATTTCGGCCCGCCGCCGTCGCTTCTTTCCGGCAAAAACGCCGGTCGGCGACGGCGCGCCCGCCGCGGCTCTGCCGAGTCCGCCGCGCCTGCACCCGAGCTGCGGTGAGCGCCACCAATCCTCTGTCCCGCTCGTGACGGTGGACTCGACCGGCGGCCGTGTCAAAGGGCGCCGCCGCGGCGGCGTCTGCCGGGCGCCGGCGTCCCCCGCCGGCCCGGCCCGTGACCGGAGCCAGCGGCGCGGCCAACAGCCACACGCACGCTCCTCAATCGATTCGACCGTTTCAACATAAAAATGGCAAAAGTGGCGCGATAAATCTTGGCGCCGCGCCGGCTCGCGCGGCCGTTTACCATTTTCAGCGGGCCGCGCGCGCCGCGCGCCGGTCGCCGGGCGCGCCTGTGAAATTGACAATTTTCTCCAATTTTAACCCTTTGTAGCCCGGATTAAAAGGCAATCGGTGCGGGGAAGGGTTGGGGCCGGCCGGCGAAGCGCTGCGCACTCCATTGTGCTCGGTCGCTCTGTGTATTGAAAGGGGTACGCTACACGGTTGTCACAGACACACCTGGCCGGAGCGGGCCGGCCGATTTGACAGAGAGAACGCTGACGTCGGGACCCTATCTGTAAATGTCATCGCGTCGGGGCGCTGTCGGTTTACTCGGACCGAGGAGTGGTCAGGAGGCGGCGGCTACCACCTGTACTGCTGCACCGCCATCAGGATCAGGTGGTTGAAGGCGGCCAGGCCGACGCGGAACATGTCGTCCCGGTTGAGGCTGAGCTGCTCGGCCAGGTTGACGTTGATGACGCCGGAGAGGGCCAGCATGGTGACGGCAGCCGCCATGCCGAACGTGTTGCCGTGCAGGAAGCAGAGGATGCCGATCGAGAGGCTCGAGCTGAGCACCACCAGCTCGGTGAGCCGGTTCCGGTTGGCGATCGAGCCGGCCAGCCAGGCCAGGATGGGCGGCGCCGCCGTCAGACAGTGGCCGTAGGCGCAGTTCTCGCTGGTGAAGCGCAGGTGGAAGTTTCCGGCCAGCAGCGGCAGCCCCAGCGCGCCCGCCAGCCACGAGCTCAGGTCGCGGGCCTTGCCCAGCTGAGGGTGCGCTCCGGTCACTGCAGAGTGCAGCCACAGCACAGGTCAGGTCAGTACAGGACAGGTCAGTACAGGTCAGAGGAACTGAAGGAAATCGTTTATCACTGCCCAGGGGATATGAAGGAAATCGATCCGAAAAGTTCAGGAAGGGGATACTTTAAACTATGAGACGGCAGCGGTCAGAACACTGCTTCGGTGCGTGATGAACTGAAGGACATGACACAATGTTGCCTATTATTGATCGAGCTGTAATAATAGTACCGCAAAACTAGTGCTCATTGCTGCTAATCAAAACCATTCCGAACATGCACGCTATACAGCTCAACTGAAAACGTAGGCATGGGTTCTATAAGAGATAGTAAAAAACGTTGTTAGTTAAAAAAAAAACATTCCAAGCTACTTCACCTATCCTCAGTTACCTTCCTGTAATTTTGGGCAATTAGCAGTAGCGTTTGACGTTCACTGATATCACAATTTATCAGGAGCAAAGTAAGGAACGATCCAGCTTTTTAAGTCAATGATTTTATATTTTGTAAGGAACTATCGTTTCCATAATAAATATTTGTTCATGGATGTATAAGCGTAATGAAATTCATATATCGTTAATGACTTAACTAAAGGTATTACTAATAAACTTCGCTTTTATATATACTTTAGCTATGATAAAGTTCTTTCGTTCGTAGCTGTCTTGGTTATTCCTAAATGTTTTTAGTTTGTAGCAAAAACTTCAATAGCAAAAACCTAATGCTGCTTTTGCCCTCATAAACCAGTTGCGTCTTGATTGTATTTTTGACAAAATTCTTAATTTGTGTTATCTGTAGGAAACTCTGCGTGTAGGTATAAAGATTGGGCTGCGTTATACGCATCTACATTTACAAAGGTAAATAAATGCCTTATTGATTATAAGGATAGCAACTTACTCACCGAAAAGGAAAAGAAGACAGACGGAATGTATGCTGACAAGAATGTACCATGCTAATCCCATTGTGAACTTGTGTTGCAGTTCTTTGATGGCCCAGCCTGAAGTTCCCAGCAGAAGGGACGCGGTGACCGCATGCACCATGCGGCTATCAGGCATTGTGATCGCAGAATACTCGGCTATGAAGGAAAATAATCACTTGAAATTTGTGTCAACTGCAATTAATCAAATGAGTCAATCCGAAGTTGATTTGAAACATCCCACCCCCGCCTATTTCGCCTCAATATCAACCGAAAATAAGCACAACCGTTCCTTTTCTGAAACGCAAGCTGAACTAACTAAGGGACCTTTCATTTCTGGAATTTCGGACTCGGCGTGCCGCTGAGCTGTGCCCGTCGAAGATAAACAGCTGAAACATTAGTGACTGGACGAACATAAACAATAACGACAAGATGTCATCACCGATAAGTTTAACGATGTGAGCGCCCTTAGAACTTGCCGACAGGATGGCCGAGAGTTACATTAGCAGTAAACTGGGGCGGCTTCTAATTTGTTTTCCTAAGGGAGGAGGGGCAGACAGCTGCCAGCTGGAGTCCCAAGTATAGCACTTCGCATCGAGTGATGACGAGCTTTTAACACACCACTCAGCCTCTTCCCAATAAAGCAGGATTTACCGGAAAATCCTCATCGTTACGATTGCCCCAACTGCGCTAGTCATGTCATCAAAGCTGCTACGCGTGAGATCAGGGGAGCATTCGGCGGTAATTACCATAATCAGCGCCATTCTCAGGGGCAGCTGGTGCTACAGGGGCGGACGTGGCCATTCTGGCGCTCTGCCAGAACCGACTGATTTAAAGAGTCGTCAGAAACTGTCCAAATAAACAGCCCGGATCGGACGTAGGTCCGCCTGTTTGATCCCGAGACGTTTTAGGGCAGTATAAATCGATACGGCGTCGTCCGTAATTCCTCCCATAAATTCTACCGTCCTCTCCTCCAGCACGGAGGTCCCAGCGGTGGGGTCAGGGGGCGCCGGCCCAGAATATATTAAGCCCTATAAAAGAGAAAATCAAATAAAGGGGAGATGAGACGTGCGATGGCATAATTAACAGCGACAGGAAGGGCGCCATAGACGGCCGGCTCGACGGCAGATTAACTGCGATTGAAACAGGCGACGCGATTACCGCTCGGCGCCGCTTGTGTCGATTTTCCGCCGGGGCTGAGCCGTCCGGGTATCAATCGGACCGGGCCGGGCCGGGCCGGCCCCACGCAGCGGCGCGCCGCCCGGCCCGCTGCTCAAGCCTCAAACAAAACCCGGCCGACCGAAAGAAGCGTGGCGCCGCCGTTCGTCGCTTCTCGCGGCGGCCAAAGTGGCGCGCTATGAAGCGCAGAGTGGGCGCTGTTTTACCTGCGCCAGCTATTTACACTCCACGGGACAGGAATTTTTACTGCACAATTTACAGGTGGGGCGCAGTGTAAAAAGTCAGCAAGGTGTGACGTCCCAGCGCTGGACCGGAGCGGACCCACCGGCCGGAGCGCGTCATAAATCAGGCCTGTGACGTCATAAATCAGCCGGTTATCACCGCTTTATCCGTGGCCAGTCTCTCTGCCCGCCGGCTGCCGGCTGGATCTCAAGCCTCCTTTCCACTCCAGTGGGCCTCGTGTGGCCTTCTCAGAGGGACCTTCTCGACGAGACCTCTGGAAGGGTGCAGGGCATCAATACGATATTGTCGGCTGGCTGAATAGCATTCCTGGGTCGGAGCCATTCAGTGATCCGGGCACGAACATCATCCTCTACGCGAGCGGGCCGCTAAATTGCCGTGCACAAGGCATTTATGTTAATTTAAAAGCATAATTGAGAAATTTCGGAAAGCGAACCGAATACCAAACAAAAGCAATGGCTAATACCATTAATAGATAGATACCTAAACCCGAGCAAAGTATTGACATTGGGTACACAGATGAAGTAATCTATTAATGAATGTTTACCAATACAGCCAAATATCGCATTTGAAATACTAAAAAATAAATCACATACGAGATATCAATCAATCTCGTATATCAATCGAATCACCGATTCGGCGTTGGTTTAGTGACTGTGTACTGTAGGCTGTAGGAAGTTACAGTGATAAATCCAGAAAGGTGGTATTGGTTGCCTCGGGAGTCGGATGGGATATTCCTCCAAAACGTTCTCAAATAAAAGATGTTCGGATTTCGCTTCCGTTTGAAAAAAAAAAATTTGAACTATGCAAGCTGTTCCAACTGTGTAGTCGTTGTTTCAGCTAAACTGCTTCAGTTCAGTTATTTGTAATCTAGCTAAAAGTTGTTTCAGATAAACTATTTTCCACCACCCCGCCCCCAAAATGTCACTGTGCCGTGTTTATCCCGTGTCTGTCCTGTGTCCCGTGTATGTCCCATGTGTCACGCTCTGTCCCGTGTCTGTCGCGCTCGGTCGCCACGTCTCATTGTCGCTCTCGCGTGTCGCGCTCTGTCTCCGTGCCTATCGCCGTGTCCTGTGTCTGTCCCGTGCCCTGTGTCTGTCCCGTGTCCTTGTCTGTCCCGTGTCCCGTGTCTGTCCCGTGTCCCGTGTCTGTCCTGTGTCCCGTATCTGTCACGTGTCCCGTGTCCCGTGTCTGTCCCGTGTCCCGTGTCTGTCCCGTGCCCCGTGTCTGTCCCGTGTCCCGTGTCTGTCCCGCCCTGTCGACAGACACCGTGTCGCGCTCTGTCGCCGTGTGTCGGGCTCTGTCGCTGTGAGTCAGTGTCTGTCGCCGTGTGTCCGTGTCTGTCGCCGTGTGTCCGTGTCCGTCGCCGTTTTCCGTGCCTGTCGCCGTGTGTCGGGCTCTGTCGCCGTGTGTCGCGCTCTGTCGCCGTGTGTCGGGCTCTGTCGCCGTGTGTCGGGCTCTGTCGCCGTGTCTGCCCCATATGTCGCGCTCTGTCGCCGTGTACTGTGTCTGTCGCCGTGTGTCGCGCTCTGTCGCCGTGTGCCGTGTCTGTCGCCGTGTGTCCGTGTCTGTCGCCGTTTTCCGTGTCTGTCGCCGTGTGTCGGGCTCTGTCGCCGTGTCTGCCCCATATGTCGCGCTCTGTCGCCGTGTCGCCGTGTCTGTCGCCGTGTGTCGCGCTCCGTTCGACCTGGGGCGGTGCCGGTGCCGCTCGACCAGTTCCCACTGGTGCGTATTGTTTACTCAGCCGAGCGGCGCTCTGCACAGGCACAGGTGTGAACGAGAACCGTCAGCGGCACGGGTAAATTACAGTCCGGACAGTCGGACAGTCGGACCGACGGACGGACGGACGGACGGACGGGCGGACGGACGGAGCAGATCGGCCGTCCACTGGACCGTGACCAGAGTGTCAGGTGCCGCCGGCCGAGGGAGGGGACGGTGGACACGGGGCAGGACAGAGGACAGAGAACAGCGGACACAGGACACAAGACAGCGAACAGCGGACAGTGGAAAGGACAGAGGACAGCAGACGGTGACAGAGGGCAGGCCAGAGGACAGGACACAGGACAGGACACAGGACAGGACACAGGGACACAGCCACAGGACAGGACACAGGACAGGGCAGATGACAGGACAGAGGACAGAGGACAGGACAGAGGACAGAGGACAGAGGACAGAGGACAGAGGACAGAGGACAGAGGACAGAGGACACAGGACAGGACAGAGCACAGAGGACAGAGGACAGAGGACAGAGGACAGAGGACAGGACAGGGGACAGGACACAGGACAGGACACAGGACAGAGGACAGTGGACAGCGAACAGCGGACAAATGGACAGTGAACAGAGGACAGCAGACAGGACAGAGAACAGAGGACAGACAGTCCAGCGGACAGGGGAGAACAGTAGGGAGGACAGTGGACAGGCAGCGGACAGAGAACAGGACAGGGTACAGAAGATGCCGACAGTTCTGCCGTGGGCCACAGGCTGCCTGCCAGCGCCCCAGTGCACCACACGCACGCTATGAATTCTGCTGTGGCCAGATGCAGTTGAAGTTGGGGCGACAGTCCATATAGCAGAGGCTGTTCCAGTCGCACGATAGGTGATATCATAGGGAAAATTATCTGCAGGTGCTGCTTATTGCAGTTAATGACGCGACTCCAGGCTGCATGAATCAAAAAGGTGTAATAATGATCGTAAAAATGGCCGTAATCCCTGTATACATGTCACCTGTCGGCGGCTGGCACATCAGCGTGACGCACCGAGCGGCTCAGAGCTGCGATCGAAACCCGACGGGCGACGCTTAAATACGGATTTAACGGCTGCATCCGACTTATTGATTGAATGATCATGCCGTTTCAATTATGCAGCTGTGCTTCTGAGAAAATGAAATTGTCTGAATGATGCAATTTTGTGCTTGGCTCCCATTTTTACTGTGCTTGGCCTTGAGAGTGCTGCAGCTGCCTGGGTGGCCCACCGGCAGCCGGTCGAGCGGGGATGTAACAGCGTGGGCTCAGGCGTCCCGCGAAGGTAGGTGAGGTGCTAATTATGCATGCAGCTAGCTCAGTACCCTGGCTAAGGCAGTCGGGAGGGATGGGGAGGCAAGCATCAATTAATTATCACGTGCTCATTTCCTCCCATGTACCCACTGCTACACTCTCGAAAAATATGTAATGCATTAAGCGGACTCCCACAGATTACCCCTTGTCCACCTGTGGCAAAATTGGGACCATTCCTTCTATCCCCAAGTACCTATTCATACCGAGGCTATTAACCCTCGCCCGTATTGGCGTTTTTCCAGCCGCGAACGTATAAGGGGGGGGGGTCCAACGGACCCCCCCCTGCCGTTTCGCCCCTGATCGAGCTAGAGCTTCGCAGAAGAAACGAGCGTGTTGCCCGTGACGCGAGAAAGCCGATGATACCCAATTTTAAGGTCCTAGGTCATCGGTTCACCTTCCAGGTCAGGTCAATGACGCAAAAGTCGGGGAAATCGGGACCTGTTAGAAAGTCGTAAAGCGTGGCTGCTACGGGGTTTTTCGGGGTGCTGATCACGAATATCATGTTAGTTTTTATCACAGATGATGTCTTCATGCATTTAGGCCAGGTCGGGTCAGGTCAGGTCAGGTCAACCAGTAAGGGTATTCGTAGTAGGTGGCAACCGCCTCTGACAGCTTCGTAACATGTTACGAAGGCACCAAAACTACATCGTAAATGTTCAAATGGTTGCTAAATTCGAATGCAGCTCCAAAAACCAGCCTAGAAACATGTAAAACTCGAAAAAGTGAACCGAGGTTATCAAAGGTCAATGACCTGACCTGACCTTCCGGTGACCTTGACACCCACCCTAATGCATGGAAGCAACATCATATCCCATGTTTGAGCGCTTAAAACCACGAA